TAGCAGGGGGGGTGCCAGCTACCCTAGCCACATTGCCAATACATCTCTCCCTGGGCAACCATGAAGAGGACTTAACGTTTGTGGTGACCCCAGGTATGGAATGCCCAATGATTCTAGGGATGGAATTGTTGAAAAAATGGAACCCCTGGGTAAATTGGAGGACGACAGAAATCAAATTCCCGAAGGGGGACCCTATGGACTTAAAACCCCAAGAGAGGCTACCAGAATCAAGAATAGAAAAAGCATCCATAGGAGAGGAAAAAAGATTAACAGAAATACCAGAGGAATATAGGGACCTTGCTGAAGTCGTCAGTGAGGAGAGGGCGAATGAGCTTCCCCCCCACCGACCCACAGACTGTACATTGAATTCAAGCCTGGGGCAAAACTCCCGAAGCCCAGATTATACTCCATGAGCCCAAAGGAGAAGGAGGAAATGGAAAGATTTATAAAAAAAAACCTGGAGAGAGGTTTCATTGAGCCAGCCAAGCCTAAAGTGGCTGCCCCGGTCCTTTTTATAGAGAATAAGGATGGCTCTTTACGTTTATGCGTGGATTATAGGGCCCTGAATACAATCAGTGAAAGCAACCTATACCCGCTGCCCCTCATGAAAGACATGCTGTCACACCTATCGAAAGGGAAAATTTTTTCTAAACTAGACTTAAGTGAAGCTTACTATCGAGTGAGAATCAAGGAAGGGGACGAATGGAAGACTGCATTTAACTGCCCCATGGGGTGCTATCAATTCAAAGTCTTGCCATTTGGATTACAAGGGGGCCCTGCAGTCTTTATGCAATTAATCAATAACGTTCTAAGGGAGCACCTGTTTAAGGGGGTCCTTGTTTACTTGGACGACATTCTTATCTTTACTGAAACAAAAGAAGAACACATCAAACTTGTCAGAGCGGTTTTAAAGAAGCTGCGAGCTGCTCACCTATATGCCAAACTCTCAAAATGCGAATTCCACCAGGAAAGAATAGACTACCTAGGCTATCGCATATCCCCACAGGGCATTGAAATGGACCCAGAGAAGGTCAGAGCAGTATTAGAATGGGCACCATCCCGCACAAGAAAGCAACTACAAAGTTTCCTGGGCTTTGCAAATTTTTACCGCCAATTCATCCCCTCATTTGCACAGATAGCCTTGCCCCTCACTAACTTACTAAAAATGAAGGGAACATCCTCAGTAAAACCTATCCAGCCACTAACATGGACAATGGAGTGCCAAGCAGCGTTTGAGAGACTAAAGAGACTTTTTTCTGCCGAACCATTACTAAGGCACCCAGACATGGACAAACCCTTCATAATACAGGCAGATGCAAGTGATGTGGCAGTGGGGGCTGTGCTATTACAAGAAAATGATGATGCAGTATTGCAACCCTGTGCATATACATCCAAGAAACTCACGTAAACAGAACAGCGCTGGCCCGTATGGGAGAAGGAGGCTTATGGGATACGTTGGGCATTACTCACATGGCAACAGTTCCTGGAAGGCAACAAAATTCCCTTCCAGGTGTGGACTGATCACAAAAATTTGGAAGCCCTGAAAACTTCCAGGAAACTCAATCCCAAACAAGCCCGCTGGTCCCAGCATTTTCACCAATTCCAATTTAAGCTCAAACATTTACCAGGAAGAAAGAACTTCCTGGCAGATGCACTATCTCGCATGCCCCAATATAACAGCGCACGAAACACAGACTCTAGACCAATAATGGCAGAGTCACAACTGGCGGCACCAGTAACCACAAGAACCCAAGCCAAAATAAAACCACAACTGGACAGCCAAACTGGAATTGAATTCAGAAAAAGTTTGGAAACAGATGATTGGTTCCAGAAAAACAAAAATGTGTGCACAATGAAAGACGGGTTGCCTTGGATAGGTGAAAAGTTATATATACCAACAACTCAAAGAGTAACTTTCATGCACCTTTGCCATGACACAAAATCAGCAGGGCAGTTTGGATTTGTAAAAACTTTACATTTAATTAAACGGCAATTTTGGTGGCCATCCATGAAAAAGGACATTGAAAGTTATATAGCCAGTTGTCCAAAATGTGCCACGGCAAAGAGGTTGCAAGGGAAAGTGCCAGGACTATTGCAAACAGTGGCAAGTCCCTCATCCCCCTGGAGAGAAATAGCCATGGATTTTATAGTGGAATTGCCAGAAAGCAATGGGAATACTGTGGTCTGGACGGTCACAGACTTGTTTTCCAAACAGGTGCACTTTATCCCTTGCCAAAAGATTCCCACTGCAAAAGCCTTAGCAAAACTTTTCATCCAACACATTTACAGATTGCATGGGGCACCCAAACGCATCATCTCTGACAGGGGGGTGCAATTTACGTCTGCATTTTGGAAGGAATTTTTATCCCTCTTAGGAACCACTCAGGGACTGACATCTAGCCACCACCCTCAAGGAAATGGGGGGGATGAAAAAATGAACTCAGTACTTAAGCAATATTTAAGATGTTTTCTTAGTTTCCAGCAGACCGAGTGGGCGGACTTACTCCCCTTTGCAGAAGTTGCCTACAATAATGCAGTCCACTCCAGCACAGGTTACACTCCTTTTCCAATAGCCACCGGTCAAAGTTTCAACCCCATGCCAGAATTAACCCCAAACGAACCAACGATCCCCTCGCTGAAAGAATGGATGGAAAAATTACAAAACACATGGCCAATAGTCAGAAAAGCACTAGATGAAGCTAGGCAGGCTTACAAAACACAAGCCGATAAAAAAAGGGTTGAGCCTACACCATTCATTATAGGAGAGATGGTGTACTTATCTACAAAATACCTAAAGTCCCTACAGCCCTGTAAAAAAACTTGGACCAAAATACATAGGACCTTTTCCAATTAAAAGAATCATAAATCCAGTAACAGTAGAATTAGAATTACCCAAAAATCTCAGGCAAATACACCCAATTTTTCATTGCAGCTTGCTGAAAAGGGAGCATCAGTCACCTGTACGGCCAAAAATCCCCCCCCCCCACCACCTCCAATCATGGTGGAGGGTGAACAACACTTCGAAATAAAGGAAGTCCTTGACTCTAGGAGATATCATGGAGCAACTCAGTACCTAGTTGCCTGGAAACACCTCCCTCCCTCACAAAAGGAGTGGGTCCATAAACGTCATGTCAGAGCCCCGAAGCTATTGAAGAAGTTTCACACAGAGTATCCTAACAATCCTGACTAAATTTTATACTTGTGTTTTCTTCAGGTGGATCTCTCTTATTGTTAAGAGGGGCCGGATGTCAGAATCCAATTATATTTCATCTTTAAATTATCAAATATAGAAACTCCCAATTCTGCCTTCTCTGGATTCTGCCATAAGAGGGAGAGAAGAGGGAGAACAAAGGGGCTTTATGGCCCTCACTTCCTTCTTTACACTTCAAAGAGCTGAATGCTGAATGTGTGTTTATTGTAACCTCGAAGTGTTAACATACCAAAGGAGGGAAGTTGCCTTTCATGTAGTTATCTGAAGTCTCCATCCAGATGGAAGAAAGAAGAAAGGGAGTGGAATTGTGATACTTGAAACTATCACTGGAAGGGGGGTTGATTGGGTGGGACTACTGGGGAACCCCTAAAACCTTGAATGGGAGAGCTTGAACCCCAAGTCCTGTCTAGCATGCCTGCAACCATTTTCTCTTAATAAAGGATTCCTGTTGGAAGAATTATTCCAAGAGTTCTGTCTTCTTAAGATGCAAAGTGGGGTGGGTCCTTACAATAATAATGATGATGATGATGATGATGATGATGATGATGTTGATGATGATGATGATGATGATGATGATAAGTTGGAAGGGACCTTGGAGGTCATCTAGTCCAACCCCCTGCTCAGGCAGGAAACCCTCTACCATTTTGGACAAATGGCTGTCCAGTGTCTTCTTAAAAGCTTCCAGGTTGGAGAATTCACCGCTTCTGGAGGCAGGTTGCTCCACTGGTTAACTGTTCTAACAATCACGAAGTTTCTCCTTAGTTCTAGGTTGCTTCTCTCTTTGGTTAGTTTCCACCCATTGCTTCTTGTCCTGCCTTCAGGTGCTTTGGAAAATAGCTTGATTCCCTCTTCTTTATGGCAGCCCCTGAGATATTGGAATACTGCTCTCATGTCCCCCCTTGTCCTTCTCTTTGTTAAACTAGACATACCCAATTCCAGCAACCGTTCCGTATATGTTTTAGCCTCCAGTCCCCTAATCATCTTTGTTGCTCTTCTCTGTACTCCTTCTAGAGTCTCAACATCTGTTTTACATCGTGGTGACCAAAACTGGATGCGGTATTCCAAGTGTGGCCTTACCAAGGCATTGTAAAGTGATATTAATACCTCATGTGATCTTGATTCTATCCCTCTGTTAATGTAGCCTAGCACCGTGTTGGCCTTTTTGGCAGCTGCAGTACACGACTGGCTCCTATTTAAGTGATTGTCCACTAGGCCAATCTGAAAGGAAGAAAAGAGAAATTTCAGCCCAAACGCTGTAATTTCAAAGGGGAGAGAAAAGTTAGATGTGAAAGGGAAGAGTGAAGGACTCCAAAGAAGCTTCTCTGATCAAAATTGGTCAAGAAGAACCAAAATGGGGGTGTTCCAGATCAGAAGGGTTGGTGTTAGAAAACCTAAAGTGGACCAACACCATTGCAGTACGCAGAGAAGAACAGGAGGAGACATGGCTAGGTCATAGTTGAAATGTGGATGAAGATGGATAATATGGCTATTGTCACCAAATGGACCATTATATGAAGACCTCTTGGTGAATGGGTATGTTTAAGTGAAATGTAGCCATCATTCAATTGATCACTTTCATTCCACCCATCATAAAATCACACACCAATTATAACACCCTTCTGGAATTGAGTTACCATCACATCCCTAAGCGTCTAAGAGGGTGTGACAGAAGGAAGGACGCACCTGAGAATTTGAGAATGCTAAGAGGAACCAAGAAGTTATTGTCACACATTGGTTAGTCATGCATATTGGTGTTCATCACCTGCTGCAAGGGTTTTTGTTCAGCTCTTCAGCAGAATTGTATCACTGTGCACTGGCCACCACCCAAATATTCCAGGCAATAATAGTCACCGTCATCTTCTGCCTCAACACTGGAGATGGTTAACACTGCAGATGTTCTCGAGTTGTCAACAGAACCGGAGAATCGTGCTGGGATTCCAGAGGCTCTGCTGCTATCGCCATATATAAGGAGTTTGGGGGGACCGCCAGACTTCTGTTGATACCAGGAGGAATCCCCTGATCCAATTGTTCCACTGCTTTTAGTACAAGTGATTCGGACTGTCTCTCCAAGAGATCCAGACACAGAGGCTGGTTGTGTCAAGACTTGGGAAAAACTCCCTGAAAAAAAGCAAAGGTGGCAGCGTTAGGACAATGTTCATTTCACGAAAGAGAAATGTGTGGTAGGAACAGAAATCTGAAATCAAAGAAGTAGAGGAGAAACCACTTGTCTGAATTATAAGGGGATGGGGGAAGATTGTAAGTCACAGCCATTTTTAGTAGATAGCCCAAGTCTTCAATTACCCATAAACGAAGAGGAGAGTATGAGAAGAAGAGGCAGCCAAGCCATGGTGGAAGATGGGATCAGGAATGAATTGTCTGCAGAGCCAGCTGTCCTCTCTGCTCTTAAGCCTTTTGCCAGTGGGGAATTCAAATTCATGCAAATGCCCTGCCTGCTCAGCAATTCTTCCTCAGATATGACAGCCAGCTTGAGATAAAAGGAAAGAGCATCCTTTGAAGATTCCTTCTCTTCAAGCAGTAGGATTTGCCAGTGGAGCTTTTGAGGACACATTCCATTCCATTCCATTTTAATTTTTATCCAGTTTCTGCCACTTGTGTTCTGTGAGAAAGGAAATAATGCACGTTTTCTCATTGCTACTGACAACATAAATAACAAAAATGCTTAAGGTAGAACTTTGTGGACTAAAATTTCAGACTTAGTTTAGAAAACACGGCAATCCTGACCTCTATTGGTTATGTCACCGTAGTCTCAAAGTGTTTTATAGGTGTTGGGCAAAGCAGATGCCAAGATTTTCTTTGTCAAAATAAAGAAGCAGAGTGACCTACCTCGAACATAAATATCATGTTGCAATTTATTTTTTATGCCTCAAAAGGGGGGTGGATCAGAAAGGAGAATAGGAAGGGGAACTTAGTTATGATCTACAAAACCAAAGAGTTAAAAAAATCCAATGTTGAAGGCAAACAAACATTAACAAAGGAGATTCCTGTTGTAGGCAATCTGCTAGTGGTTGAAGATGCTCAAGGAGACAGAATTGGAAGAACTATGGAGAAGGCCAGAGAACTGAGTTGTGGCTTCAAAGGGTCTCTCTTATTTTGCTCATGTGTCTGATGATGGCACTGTTGACCCCAGGAGTTGAATTCATCTCCAATGTTTCCACTCATTTTCATACAACAAATCCTGACTGTTTCTCTGTAGGATGCTGAAAGGGAAGGGGGGTGATGAAGGAAAAGCTGGACCAAAAGGTCTGAAAGAAAGCAAAGAGAAAAGAAAAGCTTCATCCAAGGAGGTATAATTTCAAAGGGGAGAGAAAAGTTAGACATGAAAGAGAAGAGTGAGGGATTCCAAAGAAGCTTCTCTTATCAGAATTGGTTAAGAAGAACCAAAATGTGAGTGTTCCAGATCAGAAGGGTTGATGCTAGAAACGTTGTCCAACAGTACTGCAAGAGGCAGAGAAGGTCAGGAGGAAACATGGCCTGGTTGTAGCTGGAATGTGGGATAAAGATCAACAATATGATTGTTGTCTCCAAACAATGATTATCAGAAGTGTTCTGGGTGGCTCTTTATGTTCAATGATTCATAATCCATCATTCAACTGATCCCCTTCATTTCCCCCACTATGAAGTCCCAGACCAATAATAATAACCTTCTCTAGTTCAGACATCATCACATCCCTGAGAGTTTAAGTAGATATGGTACCAACAAGGAAGCACCTTACAGTTTGAGAAGGTTAAGCGGAATCAAGAAGAAGATGTCACACATTGCCCAGTCATGCATATCGGTGATTGCCTCCTGAAAGGTTTTTGTTCAGCTCTTCAGTGGAATTGTAGCACTGTGTACGAGCCACTGCCTGTATAATAGCCGCAAAAATAGTCACCCTCATCTTCTGCCTGAAGGTTGGAGATGCTTAACACGGCAGATGTTCTAGAGTTTTCAACAGAACCGGAGAATCGTTCTGGGATTCCAGAGGCATATATAAGGAGTTTGGGGGGACCGCCAGACTTCTGTTGATACCAGGAGGAATATCCTGATCCAATTGTTCCACTGCTTTTTTTTACAAGAGATTTGGACTGTCTCTCTAAGAGATCCAGACACAGAGGCTGGTTGATTCAGGACAATCTGGGAAAAACTCCCTGAAAAAAAGCAAAGGTGACAGGAAAGACTCAGTCAGCATTCTGTCCATTGACCTTAGGAGAAATGTGTGGTATTAACAGAAATCTGAAATCAAAGAAGTAGAGGAGAAACCACTTCCCTGAATTATAAGGGGATGGGGGAAGAGTGTAAGTCCCAGCCATTTTTAGTAGATAGCCCAAGTCTTCAATTACCCATAAAGGAAGAGGAGAGGATGAGAAGAAGAGGCAGCCAAGCCATGGTGGAAGATGGGATCAGGACTGAATTGTCTGCAGAGCCAGCTGTCCTCTCTGCTCTTAAGCCTTTTGCCAGTGGAGAATTCAAATTCATGCAAATGTCCTGCCTGCTCAGCAATTCTTCCTCAGATATGACAGCCAGCTTCAGATAAAAGGAAAGAGCTTCCTTTGAAGATTCCTTCTCTTCAAGCAGTAGGATTTCCTGGTGGAGCTTTTGAGGACACATTCCATTCCATTCCCTTTTGATTTTTATCCAGTTTCTGCCACTTGTGCTCTGTGAGAAAGGAAATAATCCACGTTTTCTCATTGCTACTGACCACATAAATAACAAACATCCTTAAGGTACAACTTTGTGGACTAAAATTTCAGACTTAGTTTAGAAAACACGGCAATCCTGACCTCTATTGGTTATGTCACCATAGCCTCAAAGTGTTTTATTGGGCAAAGCAGATGCCAAGATTCTCTTTGTCAAAATAAAGAAGCAGAGTGACCTACTCAAACGTAAATAGCATGTTGAAATTTATTTTTTATCCCTCAAAAGGGTGTGGATCAGAAAGAAGAATAGGAAGAGGAATATGGTTATGATCTAGAAAACCATAGAGTTAAAAAAATTCAAAATTTAGACAAACAAATATCAACAAAGGAGATTCTTGTTGTAGGCAATCTGAGAGTGGTTGAAGATGCTCAAGGAGACAGAGTTGGAAGAACTATGGAGAGGGCCAGAGAACTGAATTGTGGCTTCAAAGGGTCTCTCTTATTTTGCTCATGTGTCTGATGATGGCACTGTTGATCCTAGAAATTGTATTAATCTCCAGTGTTTCCACTCATTTTCATACAACAAATCCTGACTGTTTCTCTGTAGGATGGGGGGGTGTGACTGAGATCAAATGAAACGGCATGCTTACACCCACTTTTTCATGACTTTAAAGATGGTGGATGAGCAGGAGGAATGAGAAGGGGAGCATAGTTATGATCTAGAAAAATATGGAATCAAAAAATATCTAAAGGTGCAGAGAAACAAAACCAGCAAAGGAAGGGGGTCTATTGTAAGCAATGTGAGAATGATTAGAGATCTCCAGGAGACAAAATTGGAAGAACTGTTGACAAAGCCAGAGAAATTGGCTGAGATTTTAAAGGGTCTCTCAATTTGCTTGTATGTAGATCTAAGGTGTGGTATTAGTCTCAATTTTTTCTACTCCTTTTGGAACAAAGGATTCTCACTGTTTCTCCAAAGCATGCTGAATGAGGAGGGGGCTAATTGAAGACAACCAAAATCCTGAAAGAAAGCCAAGAACAAAGAACAGTTTCCACCAAGGAGGTGTAATTTCAAAGGGGAGAGAAAAGTTATTTCTGAAAGGGGAAGAGTGATGGATTCAAAAGGAGCTTCCCTGAACAGAAATGATCAATAAGAACCAAAACATGGATGTCCAGATTAGAAGGCTGATAAGAACAAGAGGAGATGTAAGCAGTCCAAAGTTGGAAAGCGGGGTAAAGATGTATAATATGGCTGTTGTCTCTAAATGGAGCACTATGCGAAGCGTTCTGAATGTGTGAAGTCATAAGTCAACTGGCCCCATTCTACCCACCCACCATAATATCCCAGTCCAATTGCAGCATCATTCTGCAACTCAAATACTATCACATCCCCCAGAGTCTAAAACGGAGTGAAAGGAGTGAGGAAACACCTGACAGTTTGGGAAGGCTAAGAGGAACAGAGAAAAATATGTCACACATTTGCCAATCATGCATATCAGACATCACCTCCTGCAAGGTTTTTGTTCAGCTCTTCAGTGGGATTGTGTCATCGTGTGCTTGCCAGTACCTACATAATATGTGCAATAATAATCAGCTTCATCCACTACCTCAAGATTGGAGATGCTTAACACTGCAGAGGACAGGAAGACCTGGTAGAGGACAGGAAGACCTGGAGGAACATTGTCCATGGGGTCGCGACGGGTCGGACACGACTTCGCAATTTACAACAACAACACTGCAGATTTTTCTGAGTTTTCAAGTGAACCAGATAATCATTCTGGGATTCCAGAGGCTCTACTGCTATCCTCATATATGATCACTTTGGGAGCATTTCCAAATTTCTGTTGATACCAGGAGGAATCCCCTGTGTCAATTGTTCCACTGCTTATAGTACGAGTAATTTGGATTGTCCCTCCAAGAGATCCAGACACAGAGGCTGTTTGAGTCATGACTTGCAAAAAAGTCCCTGAAAGAAAACAAAGATGAAAAAAAGACTCTATCAGCACAATCTTCATTTAAATCAGAAGAAAAGTGTGGTAGGAAAGGCAATTAGGAGATGGACTTCTGAATTATCAGGAGGTTGAGGAAGGCTATAATCATTGCAATTTTTGAGTAGAAATCCCTTGACATAAATTACCCCTAAAGGAGAAGGAGAGGAGGAGGAGAAGAGGCAGCTGAGCCATGGTTAGAGATGGGATCAGATCTGAATTGTCTGCAGATCCAGCTGTCCTCTCCACTCTTAAGCCTTTTGCCAGTGGGGAATTCAAATTCATGCAAATGATTTGCCTGCTCATTGACTCTTCCTCAGTTATGATAAAAAGAAAGACCTTCCCTTGACGGTTCCTTCCTGCCTGAGCAAGGGGTTGGACTAGAAGACCTCCAAGATCCCTTCTTATTCTGTTATTCTCTTTGAGTATCATGACTTGCTGATGCAACTTTTTTGAGGAGACCATCCTGTTTGGCTGAGCGGGAACATTTGGGAAGGTCTTCAGCTCAACTGCAGCGTAGAAAGCATGCATGAGAATTGTCCTCACTTTATCTCCTTCATCCTTTCTTCTTCAACCTGAGACAGATCCCTCTCAGCTTTTCTGGGAAATTATGACCTATGGCAGGGATGTTAGGAATGATAACCATATATGTTAGGTCACACGTTCATGTTTTCCTGAAAAGTTGTTGTGCTTGGAGAGGGAATCTCCAAGGGTAGACACAAATCCAGTTCAGAGGCCACATGGACTACTAAGATTGGAGCTGATGTCCCACCATAATATAAAAAGGAAACTCGATCCGTGCCACTTCCTAGAGTCTTTTTCCAAAATCAGGTCTCTGGTAACCCTTTCTACCATATAGAACACATAATGTAATATTAAATTATATTATTGTTCTAACATATAATATTAAAAGGCCAAAACATTTATGAGCTGTAGCCCACTTCATCAGATGCCTCTGCTAGCTTAACTGAGGTAGGATTTCAGTGAGGGTGAAGACAGGGAAGCAAAGGGAGGGAATAAAAGGACATTCATCAATATTAGACCAAATGAAATATTTCTCCCCAGATGAATCACAGTTCTAGATATATACAGAATATCTGAATTGGCAAAAGGACACCAATCAACCTGGGCTAAAGACTTTATTGAGATTGTAGTGGGGTGCCCCAGGGCTCTGTTCTGGGCCCAGTTCTCTTCAACATCTTCATCAACGATTTGGATGAAGGGATAGATGGGGAACTCATCAGATTTGCAGACGACACCAAGCTGGCAGGAATAGCCAACACTCCAGAAGACAGGCTTCAGATACAGAAGGATCTGGACAGACTTGAACACTGTGCACTAACTAACAAAATGAAATTCAATGTTGAAAAAAGCAAGGTTCTACATTTAGGCAAGAAAAACCAAATGCACAAGTACAGCATAGGTGGCACCATGCTCAATAGTAGTAACTGTGAGAGGGCCCTCGGAGTCCTAGTAGACACTCACTTAAATATGAGCCAGCAGTGTGCTGCAGCTGCCAAAAAGGCCAACACAGTGCTAGGCTGCATTAACAGAGGGATAGAATTAAGATCACGTGAAATATTAATGCCACTCTACAATGCCTTGGTAAGGCCACACTTGGAATACTGCATCCAGTTTTGGTCACCACGATGTAAAAAAGATGTTGAGACTCTAGAAAGAGTACAGAGAAGAGCAACAAAGATGATTAGGGGACTGGAGGCTAAAACATATAAGGAACGGTTGCGAGAATTGGGTATGTCTAGTTTAAAGAAGAGAAGGACAAGGGGGGACATGATAGCAGTATTCCAATATCTCAGGGGCTGCCATAAAGAAGAGGGAATTAAGCTATTTTCCAAAGCACCTGGAGGCAGGACAAGAAGCAACGGGTGGAAACTAATCAAGGAGAAAAGCAACCTAGAACTAAGGAGAAACTTCCTGACAGTGAGAACAATTAATCAGTGGAACAGCCTGCCTCTAGAAGCAGTAAATGCTCCAACACTGGAAGTTTTTAAGAAGAGACTGGACAGCCATTTGTTCGAAATGGTGTAGGGTTTCCTGCCTGAGCAGGGGGTTGGACTAGATGACCTCCAAGGTCCCTTCCAACTTTACTACTATTACTAGTACTTACATGTTTAACTTCAGGTTTACCAGGATGAACCATGTCTGGCATTTTTTCCTTGTCTCTAAGACCCACTTGAGTACTTGATGGGGAGTTTAGAAAGAGATGTTCCTGTTTAAGAAACAGAAGAGAAGATTCAATCATGTCATTTCTTGATCGGCTGAAGCTCTTCTTTATTGGAAGGGAAACCAAACCTATGAAAGAGTTTTACTTCCTTTGAAGGGCTTTTGTCTCATTTCTCTATCTGAATCAAGCACTGTGCACCCGTCCCCAATCCAAACTAAGCAATAATAAGTGGCCTCATCTTCCACCAAGGCCCCTGTGATGGTCAGGGACATGGTGTTCCCTGACCTGGAGCCAGAGAAACGGGCTGGAACGCCTGATGGCCTGCTGCTGGTGCTGTGTATTAAGAGCCTTGGAACCTCCTCTGACTTCTGCTGGATCCATCGTGGGTAGTTGGTGTCAGTGATGTTTCCACCATCGTATCTACAGGACATGGTGATTGTCCCTGCTGGAGCTACAAAATCTGGATCTTTCAAGCTCTGCAGCTGCTGGATACTGGCCCCTGAAGGAGCACATGGAATTAAGGGAATAAGAGAGAACATGGAATTAAGGAACATCAAGTGAAACTACGTTATACAGCCAAACCACGCCCAACATTCTCCTGCACTGCATTCCACATGGAGACCCTCACAACAATTAACCCTTCTTTCCCCTGATTCTGTTGGTCTCACCAAAGGATGACAGGATGGTGAAGAGCAGAAGAATACAAGCCATACTGGACAATTAGACAATCTTCCTGAATGAATCAATCAGTCATTGGGTTCAACCTGGCCTCTCTTAAATCTCTAGAGGTGAGGAATACAATTAGCATGCAAATGAGATGGTTTTTTTAAAGGATGATGATGCCTGTCTTTACCAAATAGGTTGCCCAGTTAACTAAAGGTGTAACCTGCACCATTTTGATGGACAGATGACATTTGAGAGCTTAGAGCTGAATAGGTGAGCTGGTCAAATAAGAGTTTATACTAGAGAAGTACAGAATCCTAGGATGAAATCCCAACTCCGCCATTAAAATCTGAGTTGTCTTCAGCTGTAATCCTCATTCAGCTTACTTCACAACATAAAATTAATGTGAGAACAGAGAAAATCAAGATATAGTAGAAAACAGACTATATCAGCATAAAAAAATACTCCCCAGAATTGTATGATCCAATTCAGGAATATATGGTGTCCCCAAACTTTTATTTAAACATTTACTTATTTCTTTTAATTGAATAACATTCATACTCTTTCCCATGCATTCTGTTACATTTTGATTTTTATCCAGTTTCTGCCACTTGTGTTCTGTGAGAAAGGAAATAATGCACGTTTTCTCATTGCTACTGACAACATAAATAACAAAAATGCTTAAGGTAGAACTTTGTGGACTAAAATTTCAGACTTAGTTTAGAAAACACGGCAATCCTGACCTCTATTGGTTATGTCACCATAGCCTCAAAGTGTTTTATAGGTGTTGGGCAAAGCAGATGCCAAGATTCTCTTTGTCAAAATAAAGAAGCAGAGTGACCTACTCAAACGTAAATAGCATGTTGAAAATTATTTTTATGCTTCAAAAGGGGTGGATCAGAAAGTAGAATAGGAAGCGGAACATGGTTATGATCTAGAAAACCACAGAGTTAAAAAAAAATCCAGTGTTGAAGGCAAACAAACATCAACAAAGGAGATTCCTGTTGTAGGCAATCTGCTAGTGGTTGAAGATGCTCAAGGAGACAGAATTGGAAGAACTATGGAGAGGGCCAGAGAACTGAGTTGTGGCTTCAAAGGGTCTCTCTTATTTTATTCATGAGTCTGATGATGGCACTGTTGATCCCAGGAGTTGTATTACTCTCCAGTGTTTCCACTCATTTTCATACAACAAATCCTGACTGTTTCTCTGTAGGATGCTGAAAGGGAAGGGGGGTGATGAAGGAAAAGCTGGACCAAAAGGTCTGAAAGAAAGCAAAGAGAAAAGCTTCATCCAAGGAGGTATAATTTCAAAGGGGAGAGAAAAGTTAGACATGAAAGAGAAGAGTGAGGGATTCCAAAGAAGCTTCTCTTATCAGAATTGGTCAAGAAGAACCAAAACGTGAGTGTTCCATATCAGAAGGGTTGATGCTAGAAACGTTGTCCAACAGTATTGCAATAGGCAGAGAAGGTCAGGAGGAAACATAGTTCGGTTGTAGCTGGAATGTGGGATAAAGATCAACAATATGATTGTTGTCTCCAAACAACAATTATCAGAAGTGTTCTGGGTGACTCTTTATGTTCAACAATTCATAATCCATCATTCAACTGATCCTCTTCATTCCCCCCACCATGAAGTCCCAGACCAATAATAATAACCTTCTCCAGTTCAGACACTATCACATCCCTGGGAGTCTAAGTAGGTATGACACCAAGAAGGAAGCACCTTACAGTTTGAGAAGGTTAAGCGGAACCAAGAAGAAGATGTCACACATTGCCCAGTCATGCACATCGGTGATTGCCTCCTGAAAGGTTTTTGTTCAGCTCTTCAGTGGAATTGTAGCACTGTGTACGAGCCACTGCCTGTATAAGAGGCACAATAATAGATAGCCTCATCTTCTGCCTCAAGACTGGATATGCTTAACATGGCAGATGTTCTAGAGTTTTCAACAGAACCGGAGAATCGTGCTGGGATTCCAGAGGCTCTGCTGCTATCGTCATATATAAGGAGTTTGGGGGGATCGCCAGGCTTCTGTTGATACCAGGAGGAATATCCTGATCCAATTGTTCCACTGCTTTTTTTACAAGAGATTTGGACTGTCTCTCTAAGAGATCCAGACACAGAGGCTGGTTGATTCAGGACAAACTGGGAAAAACTCCCTGAAAAAAAGCAAAGGTGACAGGAAAGTCTCAGTCAACACGATGTTCATTGAACTTAGGAGAAATGTGTGGTATTAACAGAAATCTGAAATCAAAGAAGTAGAGGAGAAACCACTTCCCTGAATTATAAGGGGATGGGGCAAGAGTGTATGTCCCAGCCAATTTTAGTAGATAGCCCAAATCTTCAATTACCCATAAAGGAAGAGGAGAGGATGAGAAGAAGAGGCAGCCAAGCCATGGTGGAAGATGGGATCAGGACTGAATTGTCTGCAGAGCCAGCTGTCCTCTCTGCTCTTAAGCCTATTGCCAGTGGAGAATTCAAATTCATGCAAATGTCCTGCCTGCTCATCAATTCTTCCTCAGATATAAGGGAGCCAATGTACAATTTTGTGGTGGCGATCTATGCTGAAACGCATTCAGCATTAGCTCCATAAGCCCTCCCCCGCATGGTCTGAGAGGAACAGTGAGGGTCCTCCAGAGGACCATGCCTTGTCCCTTGCCCTGGTCCCACCCCCTTCTGCCGGAGACCCTCAGATCTGTCCCACTCCTACCCAGGCCCCCACAGGCCCCCTTGACACAAACAATGTAGAGCTGGCAACACCCACCCAGTAGGCCACACCCAACTCCATCCACACCCACCCAGTAGGCCGCACCCACCCTGGCCACACCCACCCGGCCCCCTGAGGGCAACCGCAATGCTGATGCGGCCCTCAATGAAATTGAGTTTGACACCGCTGGTATAAACCACCCATGTGATTAGACCAACGTAGGGATACGACCAGCCTGATCTAGTGGGAGGGAAATGTTTTTTCATTGCTGCTGTCAGCCTGAATACCCAGAGTCCTTAAACTCTTCTTTGGACTAAAATGGATTAGAAAGAGTTCAGAAAAGGGCAACAAAGTTGATCAGGGGACTGGGGGCTAAAACATATGAAGAACGGTTGCAGGCATTGGGTATGTCTAGTTTAATGGAGAGAAGGACAAGGGGGGACATGATAGCAGTCTTCCAATATTTGTGGGGCTGTCACAGAGAGGAGGGGGTCAACCTATTTTCCAAAGCACCTGAAGGCCAGACAAGGAATAACGGATGGAAACTGATCAAGGAGAGATTCAACCTGGAAATAAGGAGAAATTTCCTGACAGTGAGAACAATCGACCAATGGAGCAGCTTCCCTTCAGAAGTTATGGGAGCTTCATCACTGGAGGCTTTCAAGGAGAGACTGGACTGCCATATGTCACAAATGGTGTAAGGTCTCCTGCTTAGGCAGGGGGTTGGACTAGATGACCTGCGAGGTCCCTTCCAACTCTGTTATTCTATCTATGCTATATCAGACTAAGTTTAGAAAATATGACAGTCCTGACCTCTACTGTCAAGATTATGTAGCGTCAAGATATGTTTTGATGTTAGGCAAGGCTGGTGCCAAGGTAAAGAAGAATCATGGTCATCTATATGAAATGAAAATGACAACTTTACCCCCATTTTTTTCATGTCTGCAAAGGAGGTGGGTGAGAAGGAGGAAGGGTAAGGGGAACATAGTTATGCTCTAGAAAACCATAGAATTGAAGAAAAATAATAACCCAACACTGAAGACGAACAAAAGCAGCAGAAGAACATCCTGTTGTAGCCAATGCAAGAGAGATTGCTGATGATCAAGGAGGCAAAGCTGGAAGAACAGTTGACAGAGAACTGAGCTGAGATTTTGAAGGCGCTTTTATTCTGCTCATATATCAGAGGTTTGACGGCACCGGTGATCCCAGGAGGTGCATTAATCTCCAATATGTCCGCTTAACAAATCCTGAGGATGCAGGATTTCTCTGCAGGATGCTGAAAGAGAAAGGGAATGATTAAGGACAACCTGGACCAAAAGATAATAATAATAATGATGATAAAGTTGGAAGGGACCTTAGAGGTCATCTAGTCCAACCCCCTGCTCAGGCAGGAAACCCTATACCATTTTGGACAAATGGCTGTCCAGTTTCTTCTTAAAAACTTCCAGTGTTGGAGCAGTCACATGTTCTAGAGGCAGGTTGTTCCACTGGTTAACTGTTCTAACTGTCAGAAAATTCCTCCTTAGTTCTAGGTTGCTTCTCTCCTTGATGAGTTTCCATCTGTTGCTTCTTCTCCTGCCTTCAGGTGTCTTGGAGAATATCTAATACCATCAAACATCCACAGGTGGGTGAGAAGGAGGAAGGGTAAGGGGAACATAGTTATGCTCTAGAAAACCATAAAATTGAAGAAAAATAATAACCCGACGTTTAAGACGAACAAAAGCAGCAGAAGAACATCCTGTTGTAGCCAATGCAAGAGAGATTGCTGATGATCAAGGAGGCAAAGTTGGAAGAACAGTTGACAGAGAACTGAGCTGAGATTTTGAAGGCTCTTTTATTCTGCTCATATATCAGAGGTTTGACGGCACCGGTGATCCCAGGAGGTGCATTAATCTCCAATGTGTCCGCTTAACAAATCCTGAGGATGCAGGATTTCTCTACAGGATGCTGAAAGAGAAAGGGAATGATTAAGGACAACCTGGACCAAAAGATGATGATGATGATGATGATGATGATGATGATGATAATAATAATAATGATGATGATGATGATAAAGTTGGAAGGGACCTTAGAAGTCATCTAGTCCAACCTCCTGCTCAGGCAGGAAACCCTATACCATTTTGGACAAATGGCTGTCCAGTTTCTTCTTAAAAACTTCCAGTGTTGGAGCAGTCACATGTTCTGCAGGCAGGTTGTTCCACTGGTTAATTGTTCTAACTGTCAGAAAATTCCTTCTTAGTTCTAGGTTGCTTCTCTCCTTGATGAGTTTCCATCTGTTGCTTCTTCTCCTGCCTTCAGGTGGTTTGCAGAATAGCTTGACTCCCTCTTCTTGTGGCAGCCCCTGAGATATAATAATAATAATAATAATAATAATAATAATAATAATAGTGATGATGATGATGATGATAAGTTGGAATGGACCTTGGAGGTCATCTAGTCCAACCCCCGCTCAGGCAGGAAACCCTATACCATTTCGGACAAATTGCTGTCCAGTCTCTTCTTAAAAACTTCCAGTGTTGGAGCATTCACCGCTTCTGGAGGCAGGTTGTTCCACTGGTTAACTGTTCTAACGATCAGGAAGTTTCTCCTTAGTTCTAGGTTGCTTCTCTCATTGGTTAGTTTCCATCCGTTGCTTCTTGTCCTGCCTTCAGGCACTTTGGAAAATAGCTTGACTCCCTCTTCTCTGGGGCAGCCGCTGAGATATTGGAACACTGCTATTATGTCCGCCCTCGTCTTTCTCTTCGTTAAACTAGACATACCCAATTCTAGCAACCGTTTCTTATATGTTTTAGCCTCCAGTCCCCTAATCATCTTTGTTGCTCTTCTCTGTACTCTTTCTAGAGTCTCAACATCTTTTTTACATTATGATGACCAAAACTAGATGCAGTATTCCAAGTGTGGCCTTACCAGGGCATTGTAAAGTGGTATTAATACCTCATGTGATCTTGATTCTATCCCTCTGTTAATGCAGCCTAGCACTGTGTTGGGTTTTTTGGCAGCTGCAGCACACGACTGGCTCATATTTAAATGATTGTCCACTAGGCCAATGTGAAAGGAAGATCTGAAAGGAAGAAAAGAGAAAAGAGAAATTTCAGCCAAAATGGTGTAATTTCAAAGGAGAGAGACAAGTTAGATGTGAAAGGGAAGAGTGAAGGACTCCAAAGAAGCTTCTCTGATCAAAATTGAAGAATAAGAACCAAAATGTGGGTGTTCCAAATCAAAAGGCTTGATGTTAGAAAACCTAAAGTGGACCAACACCAGTGCAGTAGGCAGAGAAGAACAGGAGGAGAAGAAGAACAGGTCATAGTTGAAATGTGGGATGAAGATGGATAATATGGCTATTGTCTCCAAATGGACCATTGGTGCTCATCACCTCCTGCAAGGGTTTTTGTTCAGCTCTTCGGCAGGATTGTATCATTGTGCACTAGCCACCACCCAAATAATCCAGGCAATAATAGTCACCCTCATCTTCTGCCTCAAGACTGGAGATGCTTAACACTGCAGATTTTCTAGAGTTTTCAACAGAACTGGAGAATCATGCTGGATTTCCAGAGGCTCTGCTGCTATCGGCATATATAAGGAGTTTGGGGGCACTGCCAGGCTTCTGTTGATACCAGGAAGAATATCCTGATCCAATCGTTCCACTGCTTTTAGTATAAGAGATATCAATTGTCTCTGTAGGAGATCCAGACACAGAGGCTGGTTGATTCAGGAGAAACTGGGAAAAACTCCCATCTTTGTTGCTCTTCTCTGCACTCTTTCTAGAGTCCCAACATCTTTTTTACATTGTGGTGACCAAAATTGGATGCAGTATTCCAAGCGTGGCCTTACCAAGGCATTGTAAAGTGGTATTAATACTTCATGTGATCTTGATTCTATTGCTAAATAAAATGAGTGCTGTGTGGGGTGAGTGAGCCATGTTCAACAAATGACAACTTGATTTTTTTTTAAAAAAAAAGCCATTTGCCACACGATGGTGCTGCTGTATTGTTACTCAAGGTTCGGTGAGATTAGAACCTTTTGTTTCAGAGATGTTATTAATTATATCTTAATTGTTATATTGATATCTTCAGTAAACACACTGCGTTCAGCAGAGGGAGGGAGTCTTCTAGCATTGTCAAAAAATCAATCTAGAGACTACAGGGATTCATAAGACTTGGAGTCCATAGATGCTCATTCCAAGGAGAAGCTGGATCCATGATGCTCCTAGGGGTTTTTCCAAAATTTGAAGGAGATTTGATTGCCTAATGTTAAGCAAGGGAAAATCAGGACATCCGGGCAGTTCAAATGAATATAAAGGTTTATTGCAAGCTTATGTTCTCTATAGGAAGCTGAACTACTAATGGTCAAGGCAAATTGGTTGTAGATAACGGAATTCAAGGTGGGCTAGACTGTTGTGGGCATGAACGGACTCCAAACTAATGACATGCTTGACGCCTCCCTCAGGTTCAGCCTGGTCATTTCCTACATAGATATTTCCAACTAAGATACTTTATTAAATATTATAAGTGTTTGTGAACTGAAGCTCTATTAGGTCTGTTGACTAGTTTAACTGATAGAATGAAGTGGGAAGGCAAAAGAGAAGGAACAAAGCGCTTTTAAAAGAATGGTTTGCCTGTAGTATTTCTCTGTTTCAAACTCAGCACTAGAAATATGCGTGATATATAATTTATGGGGGCGGAAAGAAGATTAGAATAATGTTTCCTCTCCCATCTCATTGATTCACACAATTAGCTTCAGGTTGAACGGGATTTACAAATTCTGACAAAACACCATTGCCATAATGACACAAAGAAATAATAGAT